CTCTCTCTCTCTCATCACATATGTACGACTTTCCGATTAGTTAACTTACCTTTGAATTGGACTTTACGCAAATATTTAAGTAAATCCGCGCCCTTCGTTGGCTTCATGGCATCGCAGAGCGAGGGCCGACCGCCGCACAAGTCACGATGCATATCCCTGTGTGTGGATTTAATAGATTGAGCTGTCTATGACAGGCACACTGTGTGTGTGTGTGTGTGTGTGTTGAGTTGTGTGCATTCTGCTTACCTCAAGGCATAGGCAAATGCCATTACCGCATCGCTAACGAACTGCAACTGATCCTCAAAGTCGGTGTTCTGCCGGGAGAGGCGCTCCTTGGTGGTGCAGGTGCGCGTGTAGTTGTTGTAGGGCGTGCTGGTGCTGCCCGGGTAGCGGCACTGAAAGTGGTCCTCCCAGAACTCTGCAATGGCAGCTCGGTTAATTTAAAAAAGAAAAAGGTAAAAATCTCTCCACGACGCGCACAAAGGCAGCGTGGACAAAATGGAATTTTTGCGTACCGACAAACCAGGGATTGCGCTGGTTATTCTCCACGGTCAGGTTGAGAAAATATTCCTCGAATCCGCGCACGGGATTAGCCTGCGGCTGCACGGACAGTGTGCCCTCCACCTAACCGATAAGGGAGGGGCAGGAGAAAAAATGGACGAAAAAGAGAAGAGAATAGATAAGTTTCGGGCTCACGTCGCGTATGCGTAATTAATTTGAGTTCAGCCACTCGACGTGGCACCGTAGGGCTGTGGTGCTGTGGTGCTTTGGGTGCCAAATTAATTTAGCATAGCCAAGCCCTATCTCAAACATATGCAGCACACACACACACACATGCCCACGCACAATTTATTTCAATTAAACCATAATTCATCATAGAGTAGCAACATTTTGTCTGGCTGGCCCTTTCGACAGTTAGCATCATTTATAAATTTGTAGTTGGTGTCATGTCACTCAGCTGCTGGGCGTGGCACATCAGCAACTCGCCGAACGGCTCATTAATCACACTTTCCCGCACATTTACGCTCATAATTTCCGCTCTGGCATCGCCCATTTAGTCTAAGCTGCGTTCTATTTTTTTTTTTTATTTTTTTATTTACTTGCCTCTGGCTCATAGTCATCCGAGACAAGATTTCGTGCACTCCATCCATCGGAGCCAATCCAGGAGAAGGCGCCTGTTGCATTCGCACGCCTCACCGCGCGCATCACTTGCCTCACTTCCTGGTCCGAGCCGAAAATAATGGCGCCTGCCATTGGTCGATTTTCAATTTGCCAAATGATAAACAGAGAGTACAAGAGAGAGAGAGAGAGACAGAGAATGGTCAAGAATTAATTTTAATTGCATTAAATATAAGGCAAACGAATTAAGCCAGGGAGTCAGTCAGCCAGGGAGTCAGTCTGCTCTTCGGTTTCTCTTCTCAGGCAATTCCCTATAATTTGCTGCATATTTCAATTTATTTTGCGACATGCCTTTTCATTGTAAATGAATTGCAAATTGCATTTTCATGTTCATGCATTATTACTCATTCATTTCAAGAGCTCTCGACTCGAGTTGAATCATATATGTGTCTGCCTTAACTTTTGTACATCAACCAGATATTCATGAAACATTCAGAGTACAGCCACAAAAAATTATGTCGAACTTCTTCAACCAAATAAAAAGCAGTTTCTATAGTTCATTCGAGTCAAGTAAACTCCCGTAGTAATGTCAAAATTTTCAGAAAAAAAAGTGTATAAAACTTTTTAGTCATCTATAGCAGCTGCAAGAATTTTCTCTCTTGGAATAATATAATAATTAAGTTTGTAAACTTATTCATTTTACTCTGGTTAAATATACATTTAAAGAAATTAATTTATCACAAAAAAAGTTTGCCAATAAATAAAATAGGCTAAAACTTTTGCCCAATTAACACATAGTTAAAATAATTCCACTAAAATAATTCGAAGGCATACATATTGAAATTAATAAATTCATTATCAAAATACAGTTTTAAAAGCTGCTGGAAAATTAGTCTAAAAATATATAAATAAATAAATAGGTTCAACAGGAAAATTCTTGCTAAATATATAAAATAAAACCATCAAAAATAATGTTTTCCTCTATATTTATTCACGATTTACGATAAATGCCATTACTTTTAATGGCTTAGTACAAAACTAAACATAGTTCA